TGATTTTTGTCTTGTTGAATTTATGCATTTGGTCATATTTTTGACATGTTCCGTTACTGTCAATTTATCTACACAGAGTGTTTGCAGCATTTGCTGAAGATAACAGACACTGATTCCCCTTGTGAGATAAAAGCCTTCATCTATGGTAGTTCTGCTAACTGCTGGTATATACTACTTTACTATCAAAAGAAAAAAGAAAGTCTTTTTACATCATAAGAATATATGCTTACAAAACTACAAAAAAATTGAGAGGGCTTGAGGCCAATGCCATATTGGAAGTTATTCACTGTTCATTTCCAAAACTGGCAAGGACAGAGAAATGTGACAAATATGGAACAAAAATGCATGGAAGATAAGTAAATTTTATGCACAAAAGAAGTATTTCAGAGAGTACACTGAGAAACAGATAAAAGCAAAGTGAGACCAAATATATATGCATGCGTGGAAACGCTGATTGAGAAAYCTAACTGCAGTGATTTCCATTCCTCTCATCACAACTGAGTGTGTACTAAATGAATAAACTGCTACTTGACATTTTCTAAATAAATATCATGGGAAGAGTACTTATTTTACTTTAATGAATCATTCTGGCCTCTCCAACAGAAAGTAGTTGTGATGAACTATAATCTGTTCCGGGAAATATAATTCTATAATGGAGATATATATGGACTGAAATATGAGAAGTTGTGTTCTCCAAAAAGTCTACTTTAAAAGAGATTCTGATTCATCCATGCCCACTTCTACTTATATTTGATCATAGCTGTTGACATACTGTATCTGCCATGCTGAGAGCTATTTCTCTACCAGAGGTAAGAAAGCCATATGGTTCGTGGATGACTATGAATTTTTGCAAGGCAAACTGAACTAATATGTGTATAATTTTTTTTCCTGTAGTTATTCAAACAAAACTATCCATTTAGCAAACAGAACATTTTTTATTCAATGGGATATTCTGGGCCATGTACACTTCTAAGAACTGAAAGTCTCTTTTGAATGCAATCATAATTGATGGGCTAACACTAACTTTCTGCATTAGTGGTCCTGTCGTTTACCATGCACAGTTAGATAAACAAATTCACTGCTGATTAAGTGAAGCAGCAAATAAGACTTGTCCTGTCCATGGAGTAGAACTGAAACAGCTGTTTTTGTTTGACTGATGCAGATTCAAAGGGCCCCCAATGGTATACCTTATAAAAAAAMCAGCAGGTTGTTTGGGGGGTTATGTTCTTTTTATTACTTACACTTCTTATATGATTATCACAGTTATACAGGGAAATTGCTTTGACTGTGGGTAATTACAAACAGGAACTAAAGTTTCTGCCAAAGTCAGATGTAAAATAACATTTTACCATCCTTGTTAAGGCACACAAAAACTATCCCAATAATTTCTCCAAAGTCCACAATTTCGTCAGTTAAAGCTCACAATCAAGCTGAAATTCAATTGTCCAGACTGCATCTACATATATTTCCCATTAGAACATTCCGTGTCAAAAAACCCTTTCATAACCGTGACATGCTAAGTGTACCAGGACAGACAATGTTCAGGGGAGCCTGGAGAGGGTACCCTCTGGGCAGGATGCTGCTTGACATTCAGACACTTTGGAAACTGAACATCCAAGCTTTCCTCCAGATCATGTATGGATCCCCCTATTCAGGGATGCATTTCTTCTATCACATCTACCAACTACTATTGAAGTAATTAGTTTCATATGTTGGAATTCATTTAGAAYATAACTTTTGGTTTGTCATGATGGACCTTGAAAATTTAATCTTGCTTTGGGATCTTTTTGTTTCAACACCTTGGTATTGCCAACAGTATCAACATTAATAGTGACGGGGTTTTGCCGTACACAARTGTGAAATCCCAATCCCAATCCCATTACATCATTAGCAATATTTCCATTGATTCAGCAAGCCTTGGTTTTATATATTACATAGACAAAACACATTCTCCTCAATACCTCTGACAAGAGAAGACTATGTTTGCTGATTGTTGAATGCTTGTTTAAAGCAATTATGACTTCACTCTAGGTGCCATTTCAGCTTGCACCASGAATTTGAACGAATTTCAGAGGGACTAGAAATTGTAAAAAGTTATCAGAGACATGCCCTATACCATTTTAGTCCAAATTAGATACATGACTAAATGCAAATAGCACTTTATAGTACTAAAATGAAAAGCTGGAAAAAAACTAAAATAAAACAAACAAATGTATTTGACAATCCTAGGTTTTAGTTTGTRTGTTACTGAACAATGGCATAATAAATGCATTCTTTAATTTGGGAAWATTATGTCAGATCACAAAGGGTCTGCCTCAAGTGCTCAGAATTAAATCTCYAATGCACAAATTGTAATTCATAAAACTGTTAATCATTGTCCAAGTCCATTTTAACCTCATACCAGACATTTTGAAAAGCATGCAAATGATGAGAGAGGGAAAAACCTTTCAAATATGAATTATAASATCTGGTTAACACTGTAAAAATAGCTTCAACAGTAAAATTAAAACTTGCAGTTCTGAAAGAAAGTGTTTGGTGCAAACCATCTGGAAATGACTTTAAAGTATTGCTATGTTGCTGAAAGGACAGAAATAYAAAACTTCTTTTCTTCCTATTTTACCTGTTTTACAGATGAAACGCAAAGAGGGAAATGCAACTAATCAGGGATGTTAAAGGATGATACTTCAAATATATTTGCACTATAAAATAGTACCATCTTCTGCTCTACCCTCCGAGTTGCTTTTTAAAATGTCCAGCACAATCAGTATGCTCCCTTGACACATCCCACAGTAAAAAGCATTCMGTTACTAAGACCCCAAATGAGATTTCTCCATCATCTGCACTTGGTCACACTGAGGTGACCATTGCTCTTTGCAGGATGCCCATTTGCGGTCACCTGCAACCCAAATGGCTAGAGGTATCCAGTGTTTCAAACTTTGTTACCGCTCGGCTTGTGATGCTACTCTAAAGCAGAGAGAAATAGTTACAAAACACWCCAGCACTAAGAAGGGCACTTGAGTTTCGCAGCCTTGCTCTCGGGCTCACACCAGCTGAGGTGACGGGAGCACTTGGTCTCCTTCTCAGGAAGRGATTACACAGCCTGTGTAAGGCTGTGCCGTAACAACGCACAATGAGAAACAAACAACCATAGGTTGTCGCCGCAAATTAGAAACCTTTGTAAGTTCGAGGTGAGTTGAGGTCGAAGCACTTATGTACGGATCTATGGCTAAATGCCAAGCAGTACGGGACCGGCACCGCTGTTAGAACTGGGACACCGGCAGCGGCAGGAATTAGGTTACGGAGGCGACAGAAAGCGGGGCCGTAAAAGAAAGCCCCTTTTCTGCACTTCCCGCCAGCTGGAGGGCTGTCCTTGCTCCCCTCCCCCGGACCGACCAGCACCGGCCCCACAGCACTGCCCCGGCCCGGGCCGGCGGGGACGGCYCGCCCCGACGGTGGCGGCCGCCGGGCGGTTTGCCGGCTCCGCTCCGGGAGGCGAGGCGGGCTGGGGCCCGCTACGCTCCCATTATGATGCTGGGTAATTATTTTATTTCCCCGGCAGACGGTGTTTCAAACAACTGCGGAGGCGCTCAGCCAACCCGTCCTCAAACGCCGCCCTATGCACGGCGAGAGCCCCCATGATCGCCCCGGTGGCCGAGAGCAGCGCAGCAGATGCGCCCGGCATCCACCCCCGCGCTCCGGGTGCGCGCCCGCGGACTCTCCAGCCGCGCCGAGCCCCGCACACCCGCGGCGGGGCAGACGCGCACAGCCGGCACGAGGAACGAGCGGAACGCACCTGCCGCCCGCCCCTTCTCGGCTGCCGGGCTGCGGCCACACCGCCCCTGGGGGCCGGGCCGCCCGTCCGGGGGTCTGGGAAAAGCCGCGGGGAACAACACGGCGCCTCCGACGTAGCCGCACCGTCCCCGGCACAGCACGGAGGCCGGGAAGGGAAAGTGGGAAGCGGTGCAAGCGGCGGTGCGCCGCCAGCCCCGGCACCTCTTCGCGGGGCAGCCCCAGAATTACGCGCTGCCAAAATTTAAATCGCCCCGACACTGCGGCTCCGCGAGCAGCACCCCCCACCCCGCCGCTCCCTCCGGCCAGACCGGCCACACGGAGGGTGCCAGCCCGCGGCCACCCCGCTCAGACACCGGGCACCCCGCCGCGCAGCCGTCCTGAGAGAGACCGTACCGGCGAGAGACCCCCGCCACGGCGACACCGCGCCGGGGCCAGCGCGGCACCGGGACGCACCGGTGATGGGGGATGACACCACAACCGACGGCGCGGCTGGCGCGCCTCGCCCCCGCTGCCTGGGCGCCCGTCCCCGACGGCGCGGTCCACACGCGGACCCGCGGCACCGAACCCCCCGTTCCCTCCGCTGCCTGGGCGGAGGCACCCCGCGAGCAGCTCGGCGCGCCTGCCGCCCCGACGGCGACCACTTCTCTCTCCTCCCCTTCCCTGGCCTCCCCTCCTTCCCTACCTTTTTCAGCGCTGACATTCTAGTGCATTATTAACGCGGCGGGTGCGGGCTGCGGCGGGTCAGGGCTGAGGAGACGCCGGGAGCGGGAGCAGCGGCGCGCGCCCAGCGTCCCCCCGGCGCCGCTCACC